TTTTCGGTGGCTAGAGACGGCGCCTGTGTGTATAGAGATGCTCCCGACTCCCGGTCCCCATGTTTTAACCCATGCCAGCGCCTATCCCCGCGTATCCACGAAAAATAGGAGCGACCATTGGGGCGGAAGATGACTACGACGGCTCCAGCGTGGGGCGCCAAGTGTTTTGATGCTTGTTATGCGAAGGGGAGCTTGATAAACAACGAGTTGGAGAACGAAGCCGGACCTAGAGCGTCACCATCACCTTCCACCCACACTTCAAACCAACATCCGACTGACTGGCTACGATTGTGTCATTACAACAGAATTGATATCACGATGTTATAACGTTTCTTCTTCGTTTGTCCCTGTGCCGGAGAAAAACTCGTAAATCGAAATCGCTAACGTTTCTTGATTGCTTAGCAACAAATTGAAATCGGGGGTAATTCCTGCCAGCGTAATGATCCGAGAAATCAGTGTCGAGTGTTTCGAGTGGAATTTTTTTCAATGACGATGTAAGAAAAATTAGGGAGAGGCAAGTATATATTATATGTTTTTTGTGGATGGAAAAAATGGATGATAGGGAGAAGTCAAGTGTAAACTTAGTTTATCTAAGGAAATTATGACAAGTATAGGATCGAGAAATATGAAGGTATAAGAAAGATTAGGGATTTCGAGTGATATAGCATTTGGTGATGTAGGGGTTTTGAAATTATATGGATGTTGGCATCTAGGAATTTGGAGATATAGGGATATTGGGATATAGGAATTTGGGAGTGCAAGGATTTGGGAATGTAAAGATTTGCAACTATAGAGATTTAAGAATATAGAAATTTAGGAATGTAAAGATTTGAGGATGTCCTGATATCTCTGCATCCTAAAAGTCCCTACATCTTCAAATCTCTATAATTGCAAATCCTTATGCCCCTAAATGATTCTATTTCAAATTCTCTACATTCCCAATTCTCTATATCCCCAAATCCCTATATCCCGAAATCCCTATATCCCGAAATCCCTATATCCCCAAATCCCTATATCCCCAAATCCCTATATCCCCAAATCCCTATATCCCCAAATCCCTATATCCCCAAATCCCTATATCCCCAAATCCCTATATCCCCAAATCCCTATATCCCCAAATCCCTATATCCCCAAATCCCTATATCCCCAAATCCCTATATCCCCAAATCCCTATATCCCCAAATCCCTATATCCCCAAATCCCTATATCCCCAAATCCCTATATCCCCAAATCCCTATATCCCCAAATCCCTATATCCCCAAATCCCTATATCCCCAAATCCCTATATCCCCAAATCCCTATATCCCCAAATCCCTATATCCCCAAATCCCTATATCCCCAAATCCCTATATCCCCAAATCCCTATATCCCCAAATCCCTATATCCCCAAATCCCTATATCCCCAAATCCCTATATCCCCAAATCCCTATATCCCCAAATCCCTATATCCCCAAATCCCTATATCCCCAAATCCCTATATCCCCAAATCCCTATATCCCCAAATCCCTATATCCCCAAATCCCTATATCCCCAAATCCCTATATCCCCAAATCCCTATATCCCCAAATCCCTATATCCCCAAATCCCTATATCCCCAAATCCCTATATCCCCAAATCCCTATATCCCTATATCCCTAAAATTTACATCTCGAAATCTAGAAATAGAGTTTGAAAATTTCGAAATTCAAAAAATGATAAATTAGAAAAGATGAGGAGATTCGAATGCTTGCACAAACGTTTTGAAAGAATTCTGAATTTAGCAACTATTATAAATTGTAGATAGGTTATTAGTTTGAATATTGAGTCAACAAGTGAACCAGTCCATTTCATAATTAAAATTTCATGGAACACGGAATATTTCCGAGTATGTAGTTTGTTTATTTATAGAGCAGTTTCGGCACGAATACATTTCCTCCCCATTGACAGTAATTAATGTTGAGAAACATACATTTCCGAGTAAACCACGTTGAGAATCATTCGAATTTCATGCAATTTATGATGTTACATTCCAATGCTACGGAATTAGACGCATTAATGATCCTTCCCATACCATTTCACCCCATCGCTATCATTATCCGCGTTCCGTTCTTGCGAGCCGGCCCAAAAAAACGACATTTAAATGCATCTGCACGACAGAAATAGGGTTTGACTTTTAACATAACATGCAAACATACTCTTACTATTTAGCTACATAGTTAACGCGTACGGAGAGATAAATACTCAATAAATAACTAACACAACAAATTACTTAGATATACGCAATGTATAACTGTATCCATTAAACTCATTAGTTGATTAATTAGGTGCTAAACGAATAATCGTGAAAAATGAGTAACAGTTATATTTAAAATAAATTCAAGTAATCATTATTTTAAAGCGACAAAATTTAACATTTTTTTGAACTTTCATTTTTATTGAAACAAGTTTTAGGTATTCAAAAATTCCTATGTCTTAGTGTCCTAATATAAATATATTTCTATAGCTATTTATCCCTGGATTGCTAGATTGTCAGATCCTTATATTTTTATGTTCCTAGATCTCTAGATATTAATATTCGAATCTCTCTAGTCCATAGATTTCCATATTCCAATTTCCCTAGACTTCTAGGCCACAATATTCCAATCTCCCTATACCCTTAGATCTCAATATTCCAATTTCCCTAGACCCTAGATTTCAATATTCAAATCTCCCTAAATCCCTGGATCTCAATATTCAAATCTCCCTAGATCCCTGGATCTCAATATTCCAATTTCCCTAGACCCTAGATTTCAATATTCCAATCTTCCTATACCCTTAGATCTCAATATTCCAATTTCCCTAGACCCTAGATTTCAATATTCAAATCTCCCTAGATCCCTGGATCTCAATATTCAAATCTCGCTAGATCCCTGGATCTCAATATTCAAATTTCCCTAAGTCCCTGGATCTCAATATTCAAATCTTCCTAGATCCCTAGATCTCAATATTCCAATCTCCCTAGATCCCTAGATCTCAATATTATAATCTTCCCAGATCCCTGGATCTCAATATTCCAATCTCCCTAGATCCCTAGATCTCAATATTCTCATCTTCCCAGATCCCTAAATCTCAATATTCCAATCTCCCTATATCCTTATATTGGAGTTTAACCTCCAATATCCCTAAACCCCTAAATTCCTAAATTACTAAATGTCAATGTATCTCTCTGTCTCCATCTTAATATTTATATCTGTAATTCTCTATATTCTAGAATACCCTATCTGTTTATTGCTATAGCTCTAGCACATTTTATTTACAACATAGCTCCAGTATGATTTACACTTTGGTCGCTATGTCATCCATATTGGAATAACCCATGCATTTACACTTAGGTAAACCATCTATTTAATGAAAAGAACATAATTTGTACAAACAAACGTATGACAAATTTAATTGCGTATATACGAGTAGGTTTGAAAACAATGTTATTAGGTGTACTTTAAGACTTCTGATGGATTCAACATGGCCGCTCAAACCGCTAACATCTTCTGTTTGCAGAATTCTTGATTTATGCGCGAGTAAGACCAACTTTAGATTTCAATCGGAAATTTCTTACCGAACTTGTTTACGTAACACAATGTCACTAGATTCGCTGCGCGACTCCAGATTTCCGTTGCAGTCGACGAATATTCATCATTCAAGTACCACGAACAGTTTAAACGTAGAAGTTCGCGGTGTTTACCGGAATGATGGCTGTCGATTTTGTCGTATTTCAGGGCACAAACGAGGGAAGAACCCAGATTCTCCACAGGGAAGCAGACTGGCAAGTATGGGGGTGGGATTCTAGCACAAATGACATTGTTTATCTCCAGTTTCGAGCAAGAAAAGTCTCCGTATACGGTTAGTCGTTCGACTTCACTCGGTCAAGCACCTTCGTGTGTACGATTGCCAGCGTGCTCTTCTCGCTGGTCATGCGTGCACGCAGGGCCGGTTCTATTGATAATATTACCTAGCCATCGAGTTAGGACCACCATCAATTTTCAGCATTTTTCATTTCAGCATTTGACGTTTTCCGTCAAATTAAACGGCATTTAGGAATTTTGAGAATGTGGAAAGTAAGTGCATTTAGGAACTTTTAGAATTTTTAGAAATATGGAATTTGAGAATTTAAGTTGTTGGAAAATTGGAAGTTTAACATTTAAGAATTTATCATTTCAAAATTTGGAAGTTTAAAAATTAGAATTTTGGCTATTTTTGCAATTTAAAAATTACAGAATTTGGAATTTCAGGTATTTGTAAATTTGTAAATTTTTGAATTTGAAATACATTGAGAACTTGAATATTCAGTAACTTGAAAATCTAGCAATTGAAAAAATGTACACAGAATTTAAAAATACAAAAATTTAGGGTCTTCAAGGTCTTGCTATTAGAAAATCCCAGAATTTCACTGTTACATGTTTGAATCCACAAAAATTTAAAAACCTTCGAAATTGGTGAACTAAAAAATTCAAATATTTGACAGTGTGAAACTTTGAGAATTTTGTAAAGTTTACAATACAAACTAACGTAAAACAAAGTGCATCAGTTATGTAATATAAATAACATTGATGACTCTTGCAGTGCCATCGCAGGATACTGGAAGTCGTCCTAAGAGTGTGGTGCACATATCAACATATTGCACATGGCGGCAAAATAGCTAGAGCCACACCTGAGATGCACATATATCGCAACCCTCCCATTCTCTCTGTCACCAGTTACCCTGTGGAGTACGAGACTCGGTGGGCACACAAACGAGCCAAGAGGGTAGCACACGTACATGTACACATACGTGTTCGCGAAATGGCGTCAAGATCCGCGTCGCCACGTTACTGGCGCGCCGTTGCTCTGTCGCCGTGAATTCGCGCCGGACGAGGCCGCCCTTAGGCAACAGACATCCACAGGGGTGAGCAGACAGGCTCCAGTCGTCCTCTCTACACTATGCTACATATTGCGCGGTCGTCGGGCTCGTGGCCAGTCGACGTTCGACGATCGACGCAGTCGGTCTTTCATTGTTTATTCCAATTCGTCTTCCTATGGTGACCGATCGTAGACAAACTTTCACGAGGTGAATCCGAGAAACGGTCTATCGAAGTTGCGATTACGCCACGTTTTGTTTCTTCCGTTTGAATTTCCCGCGCTACGCAAAAACGCGGTGCCGTTCGAAATACCGGTGCGTGTATTACACATCCTTTCGAATAAATTTTACTAATATGATCGCGACTGTTTGTGGAACGATTAAGATACTTAACGGATGATCTTCTATGGAATTTATGGACGGCTTCCAAAATCTGGACGATTATTGTCACTTAGGTACCTTTTAAATCGGAGTTGTTTGAAAGTGGCCATCGTAAATCGCACGCTTATTGGCAAATCACTGGATTTTAAAATAGCTTTGATTAGGTTTTTGAAGATAAATAAACGCTCAAGTTCTGAGGATAGATTTGGTTTTATTTTTCGTTGTATGTTATTTATATTGGGGTTCAGATTGAGTTTAACACATTATGGACCAGATTATCACATAATCGACTATTTGTAATATTTCTAACTTGTTAATAACATTATAATATCTCTAGCTTGTTGATAACTAAAATTATTGTTAGGTTTAATATATATTTTCAACAGGAATTAAATTATATACATTTTTAAGATATATAACAATTATAAATTTCTGTGTACTAAACTAATTTTGGGGTATTTTTAGTATATAATTTATAGTATATAGTATATAGTATAATATATATTTAGTTCCTGTTCATATTTAAATAATTTCACACTGTCAAAGAACTGCTGAATAACAGTTATCACATATTAGTTCGTTACAACCCTTGTTTGATCAATAGGAAGTGCGAAATATCTCGTCAACTGTTTCAACTGACACGATACGAGACGTGAGATATCTCGTCATCCGTCCGTAATGTGTTAAATAATATTTCGCAGAATATAACTGTTCGTGAATTAAGTGAAGCTTGATTAATTGTGTAAACGATGGAGTATGCATACACTCGAAAGTAACGGACTAAGCTCGAAAATGTGGCATATAAAGTTTCTCTGATCATTGGAGAATTGATGCGAACATTTGCGATTTGATATCGAACCGCATCGTATTTCACAATTGGTGCAATGAACTTTAGATTACGGAAGTCGCAACTATAAATTCTACTTTGAACCGTGACACGGCGCATGCGCGGTGGTTGACCAATAGCGGAAGCCCGGCGTTGCAACAGGTAAGAAATGATGCGAGTTCAGTGATATTGCGCGTGTAGGACCACGTGGTCCGAAAAGAGCACACTGCGTGTCGTATTTTAAAAATACATTTATTTATTTTAATACAAGATTAATACAGTAATTTAGATTAATACAAGAAATGGGGCCATTTAATGCGAATCGTAGCACTTAATAATTAATATTCATTCGCATGTCTCATTTTATACATTGAAATTGATCTCAAATGCAAAATATTAAATTGTTAAAGAAAGAATTTGCAAGTTGATAATTTACAATTATCTACACAAATTTAATTCTCATCAAATTATTCTCATAATTTCTTCGAAAAACTTATTCTAAGTAAAATTGTATCAATTTTACGATTATTTCTTCTCAGCTATCACATTTCCTTTCTGAGCAGAATTTCGTTATGATTCTAAGAAATCAACGAAATTAACGATGTTTTATCACGAAACGATAAAACTCCGATCAGTAAAGAATAACGATGATCGGAAATAATATTGCTGGATGAAATAAAGTTAGTATTCGTCTCCTCCCAACAAAAATTACGCTATTTACGCTTTGCATTATTTATATCTGTGATCTCTGCGTGAACGTACGTTGATACGCATCGGAACCTTCGACATTATCATGACAGTAACATTGACATTGCGCTACGTTCATCTTGTGCATACAAGGCGCATTCTGATAAATGACGTTGAAGGAAAGCGATGCACTGTATGTGATCCGATCGCCATAAAGAATAGAGAACATGCCATACGTTTTCATGAGCCATCGAACCGATGATAGGTATCAAACACAGTTATGTAATCTACTAGGTGTTTCAAAATTAAACCAATAAAATTCGTTGATATATTCTATAAATAAAAATAATATTCTATAAAGAAACGTTTTGAGTATAACACAGTATTGTTTCATTAGAACTGTTTCAGAAATGTTTCATCATTCTAGAAAGATTCATTCAAAATGGCGTCCAAGTTTCAAAATGGCGCCCGCTGTTTTAAAAGAAAGTTAGGTTAGGTGATTAGGTTTATACCTTTTGAATTTCATGCTTATCTTGTAACTCAGTTAATGTAATGTCGATGGTATTGGATCGAGTATTCAGCTCTTTAGATTTCTACTCTAAACCTCTGGGTTTCTAAACCTGTATAATATATTTCTAAGTTACTGTATTCCCAGATCTCTAAATTTCTCGATCTCGATATTTTTACATACTAATATTCCCATGTACCTATATATCCTGGTATCCCTACATTTTAATATTGCTATATTCTGACATACCTATACTGTGATAATCCTATGTCCCTACACTCCTATGTTCCGATATCCCTACATTTTAATATAGCTATATTGCGACATACTTATATTGTGATATTTCTATGTCCCGATACTCCTATGTTCCGATATCCTTACATTTTAATATCACTATATCCCGATATACCTATATTCCAATATCCTTACACCCCAATATTCCTATCTCCCGATGCTATGCAATTTTATCTCCATATTTCTATATCCTCATAACTCGATATTCCTACATTCCTACATCCCTGCATCCTACCTCCTTACATTCACAATTCAAAATAACCGAAATATCACAACAAAATCAAATCCAATTCCAAGTAAAATGAATATTACACTAATGCCTTTCTTCGAAAAGAATTTCTTGACCATTTAAATATCTTACCGGTTCCAGTAATCTTGTACCACAGTTCCATTCATGAAAATGTAACAGAATTTGCGGTACTATAAACGGGATCGCCTGTAAATAGGACGTACTGCAATATAAATCAACCGCGTTACGATTATAGCGTGTGTCATTATACACGACTATTTTTACTGCGGCGTATAACGTGTTAAGAATCGTCAAGGCGCGTTTATGTTGAGAAACGTTTACGTTGTGCATTCTTGGGAAAATTTTGTGTGTGCTAACAAATGTGCCTTTATGTAAGCGTGGACGTGCACGATGCATATGAATGCACGCAAAATTTTTGTCACATTCAACGCACGCGATTCATTCGTTGACGGTTTTTTAAGGACATCAAAGAGTTTGGCGCCGCGGGGTAACTGTTTATATGCGTATGCGATGATTTTAATGAATATTCGATTGAAATTCGTGGGTATTAATATTTTATTGAGAAAGTTTGATGAAATAATTTATTTAATTGAGAAAGCTAGACGAGGTTGTTTATTTTATTAAAAAAGCTAATTTCTTTAATTAATAAAGTTAGATAAATTTATTTATTTATTTAAGAATGCTAAATGAGTTAATTTAATTGATTAAATTTAATCAATTATTTAATTAAATAAATTTAACAAATTTAAGATGAAAATTTATACACTGAATTCTGCGTTAATCACATAGCATATGTTCATAATAACATAAACCTCCCTTCACAATAAAATAAAAATTTGTTAATAAAATACAACAAAGGTTTATGATAGAAATTAGTATTTTTTTTATACAGAAATTAGTTGTAAGTTAATTTGTTAAATTTGCCACTGTATTTGCACCTCCCTCATTTTTTGTTTAGAATTATTAATTATAACAAATATTATTTGATAGTACTATTTCGAACTATGTAACGCAATTGTTATTTAGTTCTACTATAATGAAATTTAACACAGCTATAAATTAGTTCAGTTAAATACAATTTAACTACGCTGAAAAGTTGCTAGTAATTAAAAGTACTTAATGATTTCAATTAAATAATACTTTAATATTTAAATAATACTAGTCAGATATTATCGAATATTCTGATTAAATATTAATAAAATATCAAATATGTCAAGAGAATGAGACTATTACAATTATATTATAGAAAGAAATCGCTCCGTGGGATTGTCACTATTAAAATTGACGCCAAAGATAATTTCAGCGATATGGAAACTTCACGTGATGCATAAGAAAGTACCTATGCATATAAAGAGAGTGTCATCGTTTGCAAAGGATCACTGTTAAAATCAGAGCCTTAAATAATTCCAACGGCATCGGAACTTCAAATGCAGCCGACGGGGCCTTTCAAATATTAAATTCCCCGTGTCGATGTGCATGATTTCGTATGCATGCACCTCGGTCATACGTGCTCTCCACGGCATCTCGCCTCCCGTCAACTACCCAGTATGCATGAATAAAGATGGTGCAGGTTTTGCTAGCAACATCATACACTTGTCTGAGAAGCGACGGCTACACGTAAGAAGAGTGGAATATAGCGATGGGAGTGAAACGCGGAACGTTCAAACAATTCTGATAATAAAATATACGCGTGTACTCATCTTCGATTGTGATCAAAATTTGTTAATTTATATGGGTGAAAATAGCTGATATATGTATGTGTTTTGTTGTAGTTGGTTAGGTAAAAGTTTCATATAATTTTCAGGTTTATAATTATTGGACTTAATTTTGAAGTTGTGAAATTTCTTAGATTTGAAGTTTACGAGTTACCTAATTTTTAAATAATTAATTTCTTATTCTTAAATTTAAGCAAATTTTGAAGTACGTAGTACAAAATTTAAGAACTTGAGAGTTTATAATTTCTGTAATTCTGAATGTTTATGCATTCTGGTGCATTTTTGAATTTTTGAAATGCTAAATTTCTAGATTTCTGAACTTCACAATTTTCAACTTCCCAATTCTCAAATTTACAAATTTCAAATTATCGAATTGATAAATATGCAATTCCTCAAATTGCTCAAAGTCCTACAAACGCCAAATCCCCAATTTTTTAAATTCTAAATTTTCAAACATTTAAATGCTTGCATTTCCAAATTTTCAAATTCACAACTTTACAAAGTATATCTAAATTTCAAATTACCAAATTACCAAGTCTCTATTCTCCAAATTCACAAATTTTCAAGAATCCAACAACTGCTACAATTTTAAATTGTCCAAACTTTTAAATCCCTAGATTTCCAAATTTGAAAATTCCCAACTTCTTGAATTGCTAAATTGTAAAATTCTCAAAATCCTAAATTTCAAGCTATTAAGTTACCAAATTTCCTATTCTATAAATTCCCCAAATTTGTACGGTCCTAAATCTCCCTCTACAACTTCAAATATTCAAACTTCCGATTCTCCAGATTCTTAAATTTCCAAATTCGCAACTTCCTAAATTAGTAAATTGTGAAATTTTCAAATTTCCAAATTTGCGATTTTCTAAATTTACTAATTTCAAATTACCAAATTCCCTATTCCACAAATTCCCAAAATTTTCACATTCCCTAAGTTCCAAACATTCGAATTCCAAACTTTCTTAACATTCCACAATTTTTTTCCATAATTCCCAAACGTTCAAAAATTCCACATGTCGAAATTTCTTCCTTAACAACCTCACAGAAACAATTACTTCAACATCTTACCAGAACCAATTACATTCTGCAGCACCATCAAAATTCTCAGTAAACCATAATAACTCTGTTATTAAAACCCTTAGTCTTTTCTCCCCTTTGCTTAATCATTCACAACGAGTAGTTGCTATAACCTCCGTTGACGTGACTCTATACTCTGCATAAAAAAAGTCTTTCTTATATCTTTCACCTCTCTATATAAATCAAAAGCGTTTCCTGTATCTTTCAACACTCTTTCTTGTGTCTTGTAAATTTAAAAACTGTTCAGTTCCTTCTACTTTACTTTATTGGTTTCTTTTTATAAAAAAGAGGACGTTTGTGTAACTCTTCGATGTCTTTTGCCCGTTTTCAGTTTCTAGTTTTGTTTTCCTCGAGTACCGTTCGTACCCATCGCTAGCGGTAGGCAGTGGTACGCGTTATGACCAAAGAGAAATGATGGGCGAAGAAGAGGGAGAGAGAGAGCGAGAGAGTGAGGAGAGCAAGAAAGAGAGAGAGTAAGGAGGGTGCTGGAGCTATATAGGGGAAGGGGAGAGGAACGGGACGGACAGGCGCCTACAGCGTGGATCCGAGTGGCGCCACCGCTAACGTAAGCGTCAGCGT